GCTACCATCTTATTATTCACAAACTACTTCTCTAGCCTTGCTCAAAATGGTCAAGAGGAATAAGTATACGCGGGTCGAAGGTGACTTTCGATTAGTAGGCAGGATAAATCAAAGTGTATGCAAATTAGCCACATATGAAAAATAAGGCGTAATCTTACATAAAATCGAGAAAGTATACAACCAATTTATATGGAGATAATTCATAGTGAGATAATAACGCAAAAAAAAGATGAATGTCGGTCATGAAAAGTCAGTTTAAGGCCATGGTATTAAAAAAAAAATAGGTGGGTTAATATCTTTCTTGAAAAACATTAAGTTTAGGTTTACCTCATAAATGGCAAAAAATTTAGCCGTATGACGAAGATGTAGGCGAAATTTTTGTTTGTCCAGCTTAATCTTACTTTAGATTTATATAATGCTGAATAAAGTCCGACATATGGTCCTATAGGCAGATGACTTAAAAATTTGGAGAGAGCTGAAGAGCAACAGTGATACGCTCACGTTGCAAGAGGACCTCAACAAATTGTCGGAGTGGTCTGTTGAATGGATGCTCCCGATCAATGTGGCGAAATGTGCAACCATGCGCATTGGACAAGCAAGCACGAGCTCCTACAAACTAGAGGGAATAACACTTCCATCAGTTCAGACTCACTTGGACTTAGGTGTCATAGTTAGCCACGACTTAAAAACTACAGCACACTGTCACGCGGTGGCTGCACGTAGTTTCAGGTCCTTATGGGCGATTCGCAGAGCCTTTACAAGAATTACCAGAGATATGTTCACCTCCTTATACACATCTCTGGTTAGGTCAAGACTGGAAAACTGCATCCAGGCCGCCAGTCCGTGTCTAAAAGGGGATTCACACATTCTAGAAAGTGTTCAAAGGAAGGCAACACGTATTGTTCATGGCATAGCTAACTTATCATACGAGGAAAGACTAGATAGTTTAAATCTCTTCTCACTGTCATACCGTAGGCAGAGAGGAGATTTAATCACAATGTTTAAAATTTTAAACAATGACTACGGACCTGACCTATTCTATATTTTCCTTCACACCAGGTCGGAACACCTTAGAGGACATAGCAGGAAAGTTCAAAAGCCAAGGAGAAATCATATTGCAGTTGAGTACTGGTTCTCACATCGAGTCATAAACTCTTGGAACCGACTCCCAGAAGAAGTGGTGTCTGCAACCTCAACTGATTCGTTCAAGAAGGGTTTGGACAACCACAGAAATTTACTAGAAAAGGATTAACAAAGGCTGCAAGCCTTCTATCCTCAACCAATAAATCTGAATCTGAAATCAATCATAAGGATAAAAATTAGGCACTGTGGTGGTAGAGTATAACTCCATTATGGATAAAATTCTTATTTTGATAAAGTTCCACATAATGTTATACAGTAATATTAACTGATGACCACAATTAGAACACAATTCATTTCTGTTCATAATGATATCAAGTCACTCACTCACACAACTTTTTTCCTTCACATTTATATACATGTTTGGAATCGATTAGATGTTGGAACAAAAATCAATATGGGATAATGTACATTCAGAAATAATAATAATATGAGTGTTATTGCTCAATTACAATCAGATGGAAAATCAGACGAGTGTTTTTATAGTCAAAATAAATAAGTAACTTGTTAGAATGTTATGATGTATGTGAATTGAGCTGAAATAGAATTTTAAGATTATTTATTATCCCCCTGTGATTTGAATGACTGATGGTAATAATACCTTCCATATCTGTGGTATTTGCATTAAGTCATTTCTGTTGGGCATGTGATGGGTGTAGACTCGATGAACCAGACAGGATTCGGCAATCGATCTCTCTGTCTGTCTCTCTCCACCTACCTATATCACTTTTTAAAATTTCGACTCTGTCCCACTCGCCGTATTGTGTAGTTGTGTGTTAATGCATGCAGTGCAATTGCTGGGTTTTCTTCCAAATTACTCATCTTCGTGGGATCAGCCATTCTAACCTTAGCTAAATTCTTTTATTCAGACTGGCAATCTCACTACTCCCAATCTACTAGTCTGACCTATGTAGTTGTCCTCACTTAGAGTCACTGCAAAGTATTTTGTAAATTATAGTATTTTGTGTCTAATTGGGTCCACCGACAGAGTCCTTTAGCCTGCAGAGCTTGTCCCTGTCTGAGTGAGTTTGTAGGTTTGAATGCCAACCTAATTCCTATTATATTAAGAATCCCTCCTTATATGGTAGAACTACTATAAATGCCTCATATTCTCTCTTATTTATGTTACCATTATTAGTTTCCCCATTATTTTTATTTTGCTTTTGACCTTTCCTGATCTTCCTAATGAATAGGATAGGATAGTTATTTGACACCAAAACGCCTCTTCTTCTACCTGTTTCATGTCATCATTTAGGTTTCTTGTTGTACTATTCAGTGCTATTGCTCAGTTTGTTAGACAGACACTTAACTAAGCCTGCGTTCACTCACAAACAGATAACGGATGAGATGAATTAAGGTCTAAATATCTACTAGCAGAATGCCTTGGTTTTTTATAAAAGCCGCTAGTGTGCAGTTTACCTTCTTCTATTCATTCATTTTACAATCTAACATCCTAACTAATTCTTCTTGTTCATTTTCTGATTCAAATGTAAATTGTTTTCCCTCTACTAGTGAGTTTATATGTGTCAAGAAGCTACAGAGAGATATGTTCTGTTTTTAACACTTTGAAATTGTCATCCACATATCTCCACCATACTTTTGGAGTAGGATTAAATGTTGTGTTAAGAGCAATATTTTCCCAGTTGTCCATAAAGATATCTACTACCGTATGGGGATATTGGTGCTCCATCCCATTGCTACGCCTTCTATTTGTCTGAATATTTTCCCCTTGGAATTTAAAGACAGTAAATGTGAGACATGAATGAATTTCTAAAATAATTTTCTCAATGGGCAGCTTTGCCCTTTGAGTAAGTTCAGGATGTGCAGTTAGTTCTCTTTTAACCGCTTCTAAGGCTGTCATTTTGATTGGTATATCAGTATAAAGACTAGTTATATCAAAACTAACCATTTTTTTATCATTCTCTAGTTGAATGTCATTTAGCTTACTTTTCATCTCATATGAAATAGATAGTCTAGAGTTTAAACGATTTCTAATGGGGCATAATATTATAGCTAAGTGTTTTGATAATTCATAAGTAGGGGTATTTCTGAAATCTAGTATTGGTCGTCATATGGGGTAACCTGGCTTATGTATTTTTATTGTATCGTATATTTTACTAGCATTGTTAGTTTTTAAGCATCAAATTAAACCATTTAGACTCACCCAGAGTCAGCTGACTAAACTCCCTAACTATAATGACTGACAGTTCTATCTTCTCATTTGGACATCTCCACTGGTAGATATATGCATATTAGCCTAAAGACTATAATACGTGCTGTATTTTGGTTAAGATAGCCAAAGCTATTGGAAATCGAATTCACTTTCGTCAGTTTGTTAGATATCTTAAATCATGTTGATTACAGATAGCTGGATTATTTTATTGAATAACCACTTTACTGACCTAAACGAGGTAAGTCAAATGTTCAAAGAGAAATCCTTCTGTATTCAAGTGTTAGTTTTTAAGGATTTGATTGGTTAAAGGATTTCATCATGAGCTGACAATGGTTAGAGAACCGTTGGAAAACTTGGCAGTAGTGGACAGCTGTTTCTTCCTAGTTTGGGACTCTTCAACAGTACGCACCCACCACAGGGAGTTCGAACCCAGGACTTTCTGGTTACAAGGCTAGGGAGCTCGCATACCATTAAGCCAATGGGACCTGAGCCTATGGCTAGCCCATGAATTCTAACTCTACCAATTCACGACATAGCGCGACCCTAGCCAATGTCTTCGGCGGCAAGTATTTGTCCTCACACCCTAGCTGCTGCTGCAGCCTACAGGTCACCACTTCCCACTAGAACCCCAGGTAACTACCTACCTGAATAGGGCGAGTCGCTAGTGAGCATCTCATCGATATTCAAGAATTGGTTTGTGGGGATTTGATTGGTTAGAGGATTTCATCATGGTCTGACATTCGTTAGAGAACCATTTTTTCCAATTGATTATCAGCTCATTAGAATTGTTCGCAAGTCAGTCTATTATAAGTTGGTTCGAGGATTTCATCATGAGCTGACAACAGTTGGCGAACCATTGGAAAACCAACTGGGAGTATTGGACAGCTATTCCCTCCGTTCTAATTTGGGACTCTTCAACAGTACGCACCAACCGGGGTTAAACCCAGGACCTTCTGGTTACAAGTCCAGTGAGGTCGTAGATCAATAAGCCACTGAGACAAAGGAGTAATGCATACATATGTTTAGGTGTCAAGTTATTCGTGATGTGACTGATGTTGAGGTGGTTTTGTTCATGAATCGATGTCACATAACCAACCAATGCAAAGCGGTAAACAATGGTTTGTGACTACCCAGTAATAAGCACAGGTGACAACATCAAAGGTTACGAATTGGTAGAGATTAAATTTATGGACCATTGAGCTGGTCTCAGAGACTGGATTGTCTATGAGCTTGTCTTGCAACCGGAAAGTCCTGGGTTCGAACTCTGGCGGTGGGTACTTACTGATGATGAGTGTCGAAATAAGACGAAACGGCTTGAAGTTCTGTATGGTTTTCAATGGTTCTCTAACTGATATCATTCATGATCAAATTTAAATCGATTCGTGAGTAGTTAATGAAGAATTTTAGCAAATTACAATTCAGTCTAACGTATTTCACGATGGAATACGTGGATCAAAATAAGAATGAAATAAAATAACTGTTAGATATTTAAAAGAATTCGGTATAAAATTGTTTATCCAGCTTTTATTATTGTTTGGACTCGTCATTATCGCATATCTGCCCAGTTCAGTTCTTAGTTCTGGCTCCTTTCTAATAATGACATCTTTTATTTTTACAGAAATCCAGTTGTAATTCTAATAGCCCACATAGTAAAAAGCATTTTAAATCATCTAATCATTTACTTCCGATGAGATTCAATGTTCAACATTCAAATTTGAATTTTCTGCGTAATTTAAATCACTTGACTACACAATTTAAACAAACACTTAAAGATCTTTCACAACATGAAGATAACCATAATGCCTTTCCAAAAAATAATAATAACAATGCTGCAACTACTAATAATAATAATGATAGTAATATTTGGGGTTTGTCACAATCAGCTAATGATCGTGGTATTTTAATAAAAGACTCCAATGGAGATTGGTGTATTGTTATTGGTAAATGGTCAGAGTTTAAACGTCTTCCCGCGCCAATTTATGCAATGAATTCAAACAATAATCAAACAAATGATAATTCTAATGAAATACATGGAAATGGTGGACATTTATCTTTAAAATTTAAATGGTTTGCATCCGCATCAACACCAGCAAGAATATCTTATGCTCAGGTAAATTTTAACTTATTCTAAATTTTTCAAAAGTTGATTTGTAGGGATTTGATTTAGTTTTTTTTTAAAGTTTGATCACGGATTGATATCAGTTAGAGAACCATTGAAAACCAATACAGACAGTGGTCCAAGAAAAACGGTCTTACCTTAAATCCCTCTAAATGTCAAACAGACAATTTCACCTCTAGACATAAATCTGACCTAAAAAACTGGTTAGCACTCACGAGGTGTGCAATATAGATGGCACTGAAATATAGACCAAATCGGAAATTATATATCTTGGCGTCATTCTATCTGCTGATCATTCCTAGTAGTCTCATATCTTGATGATTTATAAGAAAATATTCGTCTTACTTCCACATCAAGAAGTTAAGACATTCTGGAATAACCAACTCTTACTCTTACGATTCGTTAACTCTCGCATTCTGACTATTATTCTCTATTGTTTGCCCTTAGTTTTTCCAGGGCTACTGAACAAAGACTATACCTTATTTCGCAGGATGGTAAAGGTTGTCAGCAGGGTAAGCAATGTGCCAATTAACCAGCTTGTTAATATTCTGGTTGACAGGCACTTGGATTCATGTGAAAAATGGGCTAAATCCATTCTATCTGTCTAACTCACTCTTCATTCACAACTCTCCCCTTGTATCTTCTGTGTGATAAAGAAAGCATTATGCGTGAAACTTAAAACTTATTAAATAGTCAGTAGAACAACTGCATGTCGTCTTTCCAACTCACATCATTTACAGGTACAACGTTTTCTTTCTTTCTTTCCTTTTCTCTCTATCGCTTTTTTGTATTTGTTATGTGCTGTTTTGTTTCTCTCTTCCTTACAAACTCCACCTAAAACATTCTTCTTCGTTCTTTTACACTCTGTATATCTCGACCTTTTTGTTACTGCTTACGCCAGTAAATATGCCAGTTAGTATCTACTTTTCTAACACCTTTAAAATTCTGCTCAATTTTGGCTTTGCTACCGACATGCTAATATGTTGTTGCCAAAACTAACTGAGATTACCCATAACCTATGTAGAATTTTATTTATTGTTAATGTACTAAATGAATGCAATATTGTGGTGAAATACTGAAAATTCCGTTCTGTATCGCAAGTACTGTTTTGGAATAAAGCAAATTATTATTATTAAAGTTATCTATCCAAGAAATAATGATATCCTTTGACGTCATGGCACGATATACCTCAGTTGGACAGAAACTAGAAAAAGAGACCATGGAGCAATTAATTAGCAACGACGAACACCTCCCACAACAATCGAAAATAAAACACACAAACTGAATGGAATGCACAAGCTAAGCTGAATGACATACTTCAAATTCAACTATCAAATACAGTAATAAGTTAAAGGAACACCCATGAGATTGTCAATATCAGGTTCGACTGCAGAAGCAGTGATGCAAAGACTTGAAAACATAATATTACCAAATATCAAACCCAAAATTTGGATACGTTGCGTGGACGACACATTTTTGATAATCAAAAGAAACGAGTTGGATAAAACCCACAACTTAATAAACAACGTCTTCAACGATATCGAATTCACAAGAGAAAGGAATCTGAGAACATAATTCTATTTTTGGATGTCTTAGTCAAGCGAACAACCACAGAGGAATTCGAAACTCAAGTTTAAAGAAAATCAACTCACACAGACCAAATACGGAATTACACAACAAAAATCCAATAACACACAAAAAGAATTGTGTACAAACACTACTCAAGAGGGCCAGCCAGGACTCATTGCAGCACTCCCGCCTACCTCAAGGAAAATTGAAGAAAGATATCTCATGGACCTCTTTCAAAAGAATAGGTATCCACGGAATTTCATCAGAAGACATTTACTGCCAAGCCAACTATCAAATCAAAGGCACTCAATGAAAGCATAAAGAAAATCGTCCTACCATATATAAAGGACATCTGAGAAATCAGTGCAAGACTCTTCAAACAACTTTAGGAATTGACGTCGCACACAAACCAACAAAATCACTTCAATCAGCCGGTGGGCTAGCCCTGTGTCAACCAAGAGATTCAACAGCGAAAGAAGATAAAACCAACATCATCTACAAAATAAATTGTAACAACTGAGAAAATCACTACATTGGTCAAAATGGAAAAGGTCCCCGTTGTCTTTGTATCCAAGATCATAAGCTAACCGTCAAAGGACATGACATCCACTCCCTCATATCGCCTCACTGCATACAGACAACCATGGACATCAGTTCGACTGGGATAACCAGCTTTCAAATATTAGATAGAGGAAACACCAAGAATGTTAGCCGGAGAATTTTTTAGAAGCCCACCTGGTATTCCAGTGAATCGTCAATCAATAGACACATCGAGAGAGACAAAATTTTTCAACCGATAAGAAAGAAACCTTACACACAAAGGGTCAAAGTTCAAGTCAAAGAAACAATCAGTTCTAATACAAGTAACCTAGAAGGTGTGAAGACACACAAAAACAAACAATCACGTTCAAGGTGGTCACCGGGAGAGATGAATAATAAACTCATGGAGAAATCTAAAAGCTCACTTCAACAGATTGAAGTATGCATTGAAGACGTTTCTTGGTTAGTAGGGCAATGAAAGCTTCGCAAATAAACCATCGGGCTAGCCCAGAGAACACAATCACATCAAAATCATCCACCTGAGCTACCAATCTTCTCCATCATATATGAAGACGGTTGGATCACACGCTTAGAAGACAGTTGAGTGATATCACACGCCAAGCTCTCGAGTAGAACCCAAATGGGAAAGGATGAGTTGGACATCTGAAGGTCACACAGAGAAGGTTCTGTGCATGGAGAAGACGAAAGCTTATGAGCAGTCGTTGGGCCAGCTGAAGAGGATTAGAGAGAACAGGGTGGAACAGAGATGAACTATTGGAGCACTATGTTCCAACTGGAATTCAGAAAAATAATAGTAGTAATGCGTTACTTATGCATATTCGTGATTTCCAAATGATATATCTGACCAAGACGGGTCAGTCTAATTTTGGTTTATGAAAGCCTTGAACTGATATCTTGATATTCTAACAACAGAAGACAAGAGCCAGGCAATAGATCCTTCTTTGACTAAATCAAGAGGTATTTATAGACTTTTATGTTCATTACTATTAGCGTTATTGTTAGCGGAGAAGCAACGTCTTCAGATTAGTTGTTTTCCTGCTGAAGGTTATTCTCTGTCATCTCTTTGTGGCAGCTTCTTAGAAAGTCAGGCTATATATTTACGAATCGTATTTGCACACATTCAATCTGCTATGATTGGTTGGTGAGTTCCTCAAGGTCAGGCTTTGTTCTTGCTTTTTTTCTCATGACCAAGCTATGGGAGGTAAACATCGATGTAAATTGCTGTCTACCAATTTGGCTGGCAGTATTACTTTGATTAATAGCTTTGGTAGTGACTACCAATTGATAAGTTTAAAACACAACCAAACACGTGTCCGGGATACAAGTGTTAACCATCTCTCAACAAGGTTAACATCTTGTTGACATCACAGCGCATCGTTGAAGCCTCCATGCTAGGAACCGACATGTCAACACAAGGTTACCAAGCATTTCAATCCATTACAATCTTTTAGTTAGGAAATACACAACGACTTAAATTAATTCAGTTTTATTTTCCTGCTTTTTGTCTCCCATTATTTTTCTTTTTTTCTTACAGATTCCAGACAATACTAACAGTTTTACTGTGATTCTACACGATGCTTCAGTTAACATGCAGACTGGGGAATTGTTTATTAGTAAAAGCTGTAATGAAATTGCACAGAATGTTTGTTTGGCGTTTTGCTGTGGAATTTTACATGTAAGTGAAACAGCTGTTTCCCTGAAAAGATTGCTGTTGGTAATTTATTGCATAACATAATGTGCAACAGGAGTCAGACAAGGGTGCTTATTATCACCAATGATATTACTAATTGTGGTGGACTGGATTATGCGTCGGAGAGTGGGAAACGAACAGACAGGAATATCCTGGACCGACGTGAAGAACCTAGAAGACTTGGATTTCGCGCGTGGTTGATTTATGTTTGATGTCACACAAAATCGAAGACTTACAAGCGAAAACCGACAAACTGGTCGAAGAATCAGCCGGCGAAGACAGGACTCCAGGTGAACATGGAAGAGACGGAGGTTATGAAAATAACCAACCAACAACAACAACAACAGCAACATCCAGCGCCAATCACCATCAACGGAGGGATTTGGAAGAGGTTACTTCATTCACTTGTCATCTAGGAGCATTGTCTCAACTACAGGAGGAACGAACGAGGATGTCAAATCGAGCGAGAATCAGGAAGGCGAGACCTGAAACCAATATGGAAATCTTCGTCACTCAGCATCAACAACAAAATTCAGTCGGATTTTCAATACAAACAACGTCAAGTCAGTCAGTTCTTCTATACGGATTATAAACTTGACAGGCAGGTCACAAAGAATATTTCCAAAGGCTATTGCAGACCTTTACCAACCAACAACTGTCTTCACTCTATGCTGAAGATCAATTAGATGGCCGGGCCGGAAAGAATCACCAACAAGAAACTATGGGAACAAACAAAACAAGAACCAATCGCCCAACAAATATGCAAGAGAAAGTGGAGATGAATTGGATACTTGTTGAGGAGGCCGGTTGGTGACAACGCGCGTCAGGCCCTCTAGTGAAACCCTAGAGGGAAGAGGCGGGTGGGACATCCAAAGGTGACATTTTATTTTATTTTTCTTTTATTTTTGATTTACAGCTTGATTCCACACTGTATTTTTGGTACATGTATGGAATTTTCAGCATGGTATCGGTAGCCCAAATTTTACAGGCCGACCATAGATATCAGGTGTGCGCCGGCGTGGGCTCGAACCCCGGACCATGTGCATGGTCGGCGAGAGTCCTAACCACTGTGCCACCGACATGAAGGAGACCCTGTGAAGAGCAGTTGTAACAGTACGGACTAACATGGATGCAGGTGAAAAGTACAGCACAGCAGAAGACAGAAGCAAGTGGAGACGTGCAGTTGAAGCTCTATGTTCCACTAGGAACCCAATGGAACAATAATATAAAGCTTTTTTTTCCATAATATTGTAACAACAGAAGGCAAGACACGGAGTCAGTAAATGGTCTGAGTCTAACGGTCTTAAACTGAATCCTTATAAATGTCAAACTCTTAATTTCAGCTTAAGATGTAAAAGACATTTAAAAGAAGTCGTCGATTCTCACGACAGTTATAAGATTGACGACAATGATATAGGAATTAAATCAGAAATCAAGTAAGTATCTTGGACTTATTCTCTCTTCTGATCTCTCCTGGTCTCCCCATGTCTTAGCGATCTCCAGTAAAATATTCCGCCTGACATTTTACACTAAGCAGTTAAGACACTCGGGTATAACTCAACCGCTCCTATTACAGTTCAAAAAATCTTGCATCCTACCTATTCTTATTTATTGTTCACCCTTGCTTATTCTTTCCTGGTTTGCTTAAAAAAGACTATGTCACAAATCGTAGAATACTGAAGACTGTCAGTAGAGGGGGTGAGTGGTGTCCCAGTGGACCACATAGTTAATGTTGTTATCGATAGGCACTTGACTTCGTCCAATAAATTTGCTAAAGGGATTTTGTCTGACTTGGAGCATCCAATTTACTCTCAGCTTTCACCTTGCATCTCCTCAGGTAGAACAAGAAGTAACTTCAGAAAACTGTATGCTTGCACGTCTAAGTATAAGAATTCTATGATACCATACTGGGCACGTATTTTATGTGATGAAAATAGTGTCAGGCAAGAGCTAACTAAATTTTTTCATCTAGTATATAAACAATTTCCCCTATCCATCCATCCTTATATACCTTCAAGTTTTACTTTTATTATTTCTATTATATTTATGGTCCTGTTGCTTCTTTGTTTTACTTTCATAACTGCAAACACCAACTTTTCTCTATGACTGCTGTAATCTTTGTTTTTCCCCTCACCATATCATGTAAGTTGAACAATATATTCAATATTTTTAAACATGCTAGGATTTCTATACCACATTGCCAATACTGTGTGAAACAAGCCCACGGCAGTTTCACTTGTATTATTATTATACCTTAGCTGTTATTATTAATATTTCCATTTTATATGCTGCATGTTTTTAACATTATCCCTATTGTAAATGTGGAAAATTTTCTGTGTGATTAATTTTATTTATAATTTGGGGATATTAGATGAAATATTGTGATTAATGCTGAGAATTCCATTCTGTATCACAAGTAATGTTTTTGGAATAAAGTAAATCATTATTATTATATTTTTCATTAATTGAGCCGTTGTTTGTATTATTATTGTTCCCTTGGGTTCCTAGTGGAACATAGGGCTTCAACTGCACGTCTCCACTTGCTTCTGTCTTCTGCTGTGCTGTACTTTTCACCTGCACCCATGTTAGTCCATGCTGATTCATCTCCTCTTTACACGATCTCCTCCATATCACCCTTGCCCTGACGACCCACTTGCCGCTTCCCTTTCGGCCCGGCTCCACTCGAGTGATGGCCTGACGCGCGCGCGATGTCATCCAGCGGTCTCCTCAGTGAGTGTCCAATCCATCTCCACTTTCTCCTGCATATTTGTTTATGTATCTACATTTTATATTCTTTAACCAATGACTGAGCGTGTGATAACAAGAAATAGAATGTTCAACTATACATAGTATTCTGTTGCCAGTGTGGTAGTATTGAACTGTGGGAATAGTATTCTGTCTCTAACATCAAATAGATATATCGTATTCTGTTGTTAATACCAAATTGAACCGTACGAACATGTGAGAATAACATTCCGTTGGCACACACTTTGTATGTATCACACCACCACACTCGTCCCCTTCCCCGGTCAAAAACTTTCGACAGATTTCGGTTGGATCATCTTGGTGCTGTCGACTTTGTTAACTTTTCTTGCAGTACTGAGTTCCGGAGCTCGCTGACATTCACCTACTCCTCGTTGTTTGCATTTCTGACCATATATACATGACCCCATATCTCATGGTGACCATGTATGGTCCTTCCAACTTTGGAAGCAGTTTGCATGACCCTAGCTCGTATTCACCGGTGTTTCGCCTCACGCTATCATATGCTGCTGCCGTCGTCCGACCTCCAAGCAGCATTCAAAGTAACAGCCTCATCGATAATGGATCTTGATCGCCACTCGACTGAGCAACAGTCTCGAAGTCCTGCACATAGATCCATGTGTCTCCATCAAAAACTGTAGGGCACAGACTTTCCGTTTGTTTGCAGCCAGAGACACCAAATGGAACGACAGATGGCAAGACACAGAAGCTAAGGTGTATTTTTCATTAGTCAAACCGCTGTTTATACACCTACAGTTCATATTCGTTAACTAATCATTGAGTGTGTTTTGTTGGTTTATATCAAACGACATGAAATAGAATGCTCAAATACACATATAGTATTCTGTTGCCAATGCACGATTGAACTATGGAAACATGTGAGAATAATATTCCGTTGGCACACACTCTTTATGTATCACACAACCACAATATCTTTACTCTCTGCAGTAGGAAAACTAATATAATACAGGTTCATAAGCCAACATTAGTTAGGGGATTGGTGAACAGCAGCTGTCTCGTCCTAGTTTTAGACTCTTCAATACAGCGCATTCATGTTCCCACCCAGGACAGAATTTATTTCGGCTGGTGACGAAGTCAGCCTTGTTATCCAATTATTGGTTTGTAGAGATTTGGTTGAATGGTTACAGGATTTCATCATGAACTGACATTGGTTAGAGAACCATAGGAAGACCTAGGAGTACTGGACAGCTGTTTCGTCCTAGTTCGGGACTCACTGGCGACTGGCCGTATTCAGGTAGGTAGTTACCTGGGTCTCCAGTGGGAAATCCTGACCAGTAGGGTGCAGCAGGTCGGGTGTGAGGACAAATACTCGCCGCCGAAGACATTGGCTAGCGGTCGCGCTATATCGTGAATTGGCAGAAGTTAGAATTCATGGGCTGGCCATTGGATCCGGTCCCAGTGGCTTAATGGTATACAAGCTCGCCTTGTAACTAGAAGGTCCTGGGTTCAAACCCCTGTGGTAGATGCGTACTGATGAAGAGTCCTAAAATAGGACGAAACAGCTGTCCAGTACTCCTGGGTTTTCCTATGGTTCTCTAACCAATGTCAGCTCATGATGAAATCCTGTAACCCACCAAATCCCTCCAAACTAACACTTAAAACAGTATCAGCTATTAAATCATAAAGAAACCTGGGAACACAGTCGTTCCGTCCGAACTCAGGACTTCCCAGCAGTACGCATCCATCAGGGTCCGAATCCAGGGCTCTCGCACCGCCAGGAGAGCACGCTGACCACTCAGCTAATGTGTCCCAACCCAAATGCTCCATAAATTCCAACTTCCAACCAAATTCGTGATACATATATTTAGCTCAACCGCCACCCAGTTTCACAGGCCTAACTTTGTGGACCTCGCTGGTTACAACATCTCAATACAACCCCCCTGTATAGAGCCAGTCGCTAGTGAGCATTAGATTATTTATTTGGTGTTGATTTGCAGGGATCTGATTGGTTACAGAATTGATCACCAGGTGATATCTGTTAGAGAACCATTAGGAAACCTGAAGTACCACTGTCAGCTAGGGATAAATCCTGTAAGCATTCAATCAAATCCCTGCAAATGAACACTTGACAACCAAGAAAAAACATATTTAATCAGAATTTTAAATGGTGGATGGTGACTAGCAGTGGAATCCAGGATAGCGCGCACTTCGTCCTATTTGGGACTCGTCAGCCTACTGGATGTATATTTAATATTTTTAAGACTATATTTACAGTTTATCTTTTTGAATAATAAAGTCAACATTCGTTTGATTTATATTTCTCCTTATCTTCAGGTATTATGTCAACCACGTATCCTTACGCATGAATCAAAAGTGAAACCCTGTCAAAGTTATAGTGAGTGGGATCAAAGTTCATGTCCTGTAGGCGATAAAATTAACACTCATGAAGATGTGCTGACTAACTTTCAAACATCAACTAAACAATCTGCTAAAGACGCCAATTTATCAACACCAGTATTATCAACTGATTCTACTATGACCAATGAAATATCAAACGCTTTCATGAATGGTGCTATTCAAATAAAAAATTCTCAATCTGTTGTTGTGATAAAAAAGACTATCAAAAAATTAGTTTGGAATCTACGGGATTATGATTTTAAAAAAACATTTAAAAAATCTAAACAGGGGAATAATGAATGGAAAAGACAAATGGAAGAGTTATTTTTCACTGGTGTCGATGTTAGTGACACTGACGATGGAGGTGTTAACCACAACAGTAGGCATTGTCGTGGTAGTAGAAGTAGACAGGGTGGTGATGAAGGCAGTGATAGAAACCTTGGAAATCGAGGTAGTAGAGGCTGTAGAAGTGTTAGTGACATCAGTAATCATGATATTCATAGTAGGGGTAATAGAAGTAAAGGGAAAGGCGGCAATAATATCAGAGATGGCAGCGGTACGGATTGTAGGAGTGACAGCGGTGGCGATGGTGAAACTCAAGATGAACATTTAAATAAGAATGATGATGATGATCGGAGTGAATTAATGAATGAAGTAAAAGTCTACGGGTATGCTGTCTGTCAATTTCAAAGTCAACAATATGAAGTTTACAGTGAGCCGATGAAATCTGAACAAAAATTTTATGATAAGTAAGTGGTATTTCTTTTTCAGTGAACATATTTCATTTATGATCTATTATTATTATTATTGTTTCCTTTAATTCCTAGAGGAACATAGGGCTTCCACCACGCACGTCTCCATTGCGTTCAGTTCTCTGCTAGAGTTTTCACCTGGTTCCAAATCTGCCCACAAGCCTTCATCTCCTCTTACCCATGACCTCCTCCAAGTCAACCTCACACTGACGACCAACTCACCGCTTCCCTTTCGGATTCCAATCGAGTGATGGCCTGTCTAGTGATGTCAATTAGTGGTTTTCTCAGAGTATGGCCAATGCATCTCAATTTATTCCTGCTTATTTGTTGCACAGTCGGTTCCTGGTTGGTTCGCTCATTACCATAGATCCCTCACTGTTGCTGATCTTTTCTGGCCGGCCATCTGATCTTGAGTATTGAGCGAAGACAACTGTTGATGAAGGTCTGAAGTTTGTTTGAGGTGCTCTTTATGACGCGCCGAGTCTCTGATCCGTATAGTTGCACTGACTAACTTCACATTGGAGTTGAAAATCCGGATCTTATTTTCATTTTGATGCTGAGTAGTGCTGTTGACCTCCACGCAGACTTGAGAGAAATGAAAGCTTGTCTTGCTTTGCCGATCATCACTTTGATATCCTCATCAGTTCCGTCCGCCTGTATTTGAAACGATGCTTCCCAGGTAGGTAAAAGAGGTTGTTTCGTTCAGGTTCCTCCCATTTATGCTGATTGTTGTCTGTTGTTGCTGTTGCTGTTGGCCAGGAATCTTCATCACCTCTGTTTTACTATGTTCACCTGAAGTCCTATCTTTGATGCTTCTTCTGTCAGCTTGTTGCTTTTCACTTGCATATCTTCCAGTTTGTGGGAAATCAGACAATATCATCGGCGAAGTCCAGATCCTCCAAGTATTTTTTGTGTGAGTCCATTTTATTCCTGTTTCCTCATTGCCCGTTGTCTGTCGCATTATCCAATCTACTGCAATCAGGAAAATCATTGGCGATAGTAGACAGCCTTGTCTTACTTCCGTCTTCACTTCGAGGGATTCCGTAAGCTTCCCGTTGTGGATTACTTGGTATTTAGCATTGTCGTACAACTGTTGGATGAGATGTGTAATTGTCGGTTGCACCCCATAGTAGCGAAATAGTTACCAAATCACCTCTCGATCAACGCTGTCGAATGCTTTTTCAAAGTCTATGTAGTTGAGATAGGGAGGTGACTGCTATTCCAAGCTTTGTTCAGTGATGATCTGTAGTGTGGCGATTTGATCATTACATGACATGTTTCTCCTGAATCCACCCTGTTCCGGCCGAAGTCCTGGGATTCCATCTAGTCCTGCTGCTTTTTCAGCTTAAAGCATCTTGATTGCCTTCAAGACTTCTGATTTCGTCGAAGGATTAATGTTCACTGGTAGTTCTGCTTCCGTTGTTGGTATTGTTGTGCGCGTTGTAGGTGGCGGTCGATTTAGAAATCTTTTGAAGTGTTCAGCCCACTGTTTTCTTTGCTCCGCTTCTTTGGTGATTGACTTTCCATTGTCATCCTTTACTGGATTAATTTGTGTCGAACTTTGCCAGATAGGCACCTAGTTGTTTGGTAGAGTGCGGCGAGGTCTTCTTTGCCTGCAGCTTTTTCTGCTTCACTTGCCATGGCTTCATTTATGATTCAGCTACTGAGTTTAGATTCAATAAGAACTCAGAAGGAAGAGTGTTTATTTCAGAGAGAAATAATGAACTGATTTATATGTAAGATTTATATGTAAGTCTACGCTGTCTCGTGAAGGCCTTTTCGAAGTCAATGAAGTTTTAATTAGATGTTTGACTGCTATTCTGTGTTTTGTTGTGTGATGACGATGATTAGAGTTGCAATTTGATAAGCACATGATTTGTCTTTCCTGAGTCCAGATTGTTCTGGCGGGTGGACTTCTGTATCTAGTGCATTCTTTATTGTCTCCAGGATGATGCGACTTAGTATTTTACTTGGCGTGGAAAAGATCATTATTCCATGCCAGTTCTTGCACAGGCCTAAGTCACCCTTCTTTGGCAGTTTGACGAGGTAACCCTTATTCCAATCAGTAGGCACCTTTCCTTCTTCCCGAACTTTTTGCAGTGATGCAGTGAGAACATCTGCCACAGTGCTTCCGGAGGAATGCTGTCTGGTTCTGCTGCCTTCCGGACTTCAGTATTTGATTGTGTTCGGAATTTCTGCTTTTGTTGGAGGATTAGTGTCCACTAGTAGTTCTGTGCGTGCTGTTGGTGGTACTATATTTCTGGGCGAGTTGCAGGTGATGATCGACTCGAGAGTCCTTTTAAGTGATCAGCCGATTGTTTGATTTGTTTCTTCTCCTGGTAATCAGGTCGTCTTGATCATCTTTTATTGGATTCATCATCTGGGCTGATCTCTTCTCGGATAGAGACTTGGTTATCTGATATAATATCTTGATGTCTCTTCTACCCGCAGCGTTCGGCCTGTTCTGCTTCATTTGTCAGTGTGTCGTGGCATTGTCTTTTGTCTTTTCTAGCACTCTTCTTCACTTCTTTATTCCGAGCAGTGTACATTGAACTCAACTTCTCATTCTCTTGTCCATCTTTGCATTGTGTCATCTCCCTCAGCATCCCCCTCTCCCCAATTAGCTTCCGGGTATCTGTTGACAGCCATTCATTGTCTTGTCTCTTCCTTCTTCCTAAAACAGTTTTACACGTTTCCTTGAACATCACCTTCAGAGAGTTCCAGTGTTCTTCCACACAGGTTTCCTCAATGATGTCACGTGGTGTGTCCGACTTTGCTCTGATCTGATCTGAAGCGAAGACATCCCTTGTAGTTCCGTCCTTCAGTTCAGTTTCTGAATGTTGAATTTGAATTACAGTGGTCTGTCTCCGGTTGTTTTCGTGGATTTCAGATTCTCTTCGAAGGTTCCTTGAACTACATGATGGTATGAGCCCACATCTCCTCACTTCCCGACTTTGAATCCAGCACACTAGCTGCATCTCCACTTCCTTGAGCAATATTCAGATGAAATCTATTTGGTTTGTGGTATGTCCGTCAGGCGAAATCCACGTTGCTTTGTGTATATCCTTGTGTTTGTGCACACCCTCTCCGACCACCAGATCATTGAGAGTACAGATGTCTGAGAATAATTATCCGTTATCATTCATTTCTCCGAGCCACAACCTCTTGACCCATGATGAGTTCTCTTCCTGTATTACCAAGTTCCAGTTTGGAATTCATATCACCCATAAGGATTTTGATGTCACCATTTGGGATGTTGTCCATTACTGTTTGTGGTTGTCTGTAAGAGTCCTCCTTCTTTTCTTGTTCCGCGTTGTTTATAGCACTGTGCGTAGCATTGGATAACTGCTGCGTTCCTTCCTTCTTTTTGAGTTGAATGTCGCTGTCATGATCCTCCATGAGGTGATTGGTCCCCACTGCATTAGGACTTTTCAACTGCCACTGGTGACATCACTATATCCACTCACTGCCTCAGTGTGCTCGTGGTTTTCGTCTGAGTGACCAGAGGAGATTATTGACGCTCCTGTTGATAGTGTTGTCAATACACATCCATTCCATCTGCTTTCGCAGATACCCACTACTTCTAAGCCATATCTTCGCATCTCTTTGGCTACCTGGTCAGCCTGTCCAGTCTGGTCTGGTGTCCGGGCCTTCCACGTACCCATTCTTACTCTTGCTTTCGTCGGGAGAAGACATATCGACTGACTGGCTTCCCGAAGGCTTTCAACAGCCTTCGATTTCATCGGAGAATAAGACTGTTGTTATTTGAAGTTTTTGTAATTTTAACATATTTTCTGCGTGTTGACGCTTCTCTAGCGAATTGAAAGATTTAGTGGTGTAGGGCTGCTAGTTCAACCACGCCCAACCTTCCCTCTTTACCCAGGCTTGGGACCGGCTAAAAAACCAGCGACCTAGTTAACTAGTCAAGGTTGTGCTGCATAGTACGCCACCCTTAACTGAATTCAAACTCTACCGAAACTTTTTGTGCAGTTGACCAAATGAGCTTCAATCCTTTAATTAAATATATCAGTTAATAGTCGACCGATTAAGTCAATAATTTAAAAATGTACTGCTAGTAAGAACTTCTATAATCTTATAAAATAATTTTTTAAATTTTATTTCTCTAATAGATATGATAATCAAAACAATGGATATTCATTTCAAAATTCAACATTTTCAACAACACATGAAAAAGAAACCAGGAATCATTTAAACATGGCATTAACATTTACAATGTGTAGAGCTTGTGGACTACCAATTGACAGTTTAATACCAAGTGTACAATATATTAGATATTTAATACGTAATTCCATCCAATTTAAATATGTACATAAATCTCCAATTGGTTTAAACAATTCAAACAATGCTCAATCATTCAATGATCAATGTAATGTAATGTATAGTGAGGAGAATGCATCAAATTCAAATATTTATTCGGATATAATCAATGTATACAGATGTAAAGGTGAAAAACAACAGTTAATGAATAATTCAAACAATTTAAAATTATCAGATGATGAAATTAAGTTGTTTAAAATGACAAATCAAGAGTTGAATGAACAGCACGGAAGTGTTAAGAGGGAAGAAACCAGTGGAGAAAATAATGGCGGAATCACCAACAGGGGATTGTTAAATTCAACCAATTATACAAAGTCCAATGACATTGTGAATAAGTCAAATCATAATAGTAATAATAACAGTAGTAATTCACAAATATGTAAAAAAGAATATAAATGGCGATTAAGTGATTTTTATGATTATTTCATATTGGAACTACCAGACATTTGTTCTGGTTGTATTCCTGGCTGTAGATATTGTAATGGTTTAGATATATTCTAGGTAATATAAACCTGTTATGAATACTATACATGTATATATAAAGCCTTTTTTTTAATTACCGTTGTTATATCGTGGTAGACAACATGATCAGAGAAGATTCTCAAAAATCACTGTCGTTCTTCATTATAATAAAGGTTTCTTTTCGTATTTCCCAGTGAATGAATGAAAAACAAAACGATATTGTTGTCGGTTTTACTGACTTTTCCCTATTTAATGGTGCAGCTAATAGCTTTATCAAAGTAGTAGTATTATTAAACCAGAATTTACCATATCCACTCAGCTTACATATAACAACTTAATCATCGTTCCTCAGCATGGGGTTATTTTCTCCTTGTCAAGTTGGTCAACTGGTAAAGATAACAAAACCAGGTAGATGTAGATTGCTGGATTCAATAAATGTATAAAATTATAAAAGTCGCGGGTATTTACATAATGAAATTGCTTACACATTCGTGTTGATTTCGTCATTTCATGGGATGGGGCAGGTGGGTGTTGTAACCAGGTGAAATTCTGTTTTAGTCCATCATTTCTATCCAGATCGGACAACTGGGATTCCATTTGACGGCATGAAGTGCTTCTAATGATATGAGACGTTGTTTTTGATTTCTGAAATACTTTCTCTGGATGATGATTTCAATATTGTCAAAATCAATTTTGTGGTCTGATTCTATAGCGTAGCGTGTAGACGAGCTATGGCTGGCTGATGTTTTTTTCTTCAAGCTTTTCTAGTTCACTAACTGGATTCCTTGGTGGTCGAAAAGACACCCACTCCACAGTGTTCATTTCTTCTGATTACCTTGATTTCTCTATAGTGAGGCTTGTCCTATGTATATCGCATTGGATCACATTCCAAGCATTTTATTTTGTAGACACAATCGGATAGAGAATCCTTGGGGATTTGGTCTCTTTTTATGGACAAGGTTGTTTCGCAGTATGTCTGATGTTTTCATTTTGTGCGTCGGTGGCACAGTGGTTAGGACTCTCGCCGACCATGCACATGGTCCGAGATTCGATCCGCTGCCGATGCACACCAGATATCTATGGTCGGCCTGCAAAATTTGGGCTACCGATATCCGTGCTGAAAATTTCATACTTTTACTAAAAATACGGTGTGGAATCAAGCTGTAATCAAAAATAAAAATAAAATAAATCTCTGACGTCGAGGTTACTGACTATCATTCTGATATCGTCTGACGTCTCTGCTCTATATGGAATGACAACTGTTGAGGTCTATGTTTTCATAATACGTTTTCGACCATACTTAATGTCTGTGTTGATTTTGTTAATGAAGTTCCTTGGGGAGTTGTTTTGCTTGAGATTTTGAGTAATGTTTGATATTTCTCCTTCCTTTTCTTTCTCATCCATTAATAATAACAATAATAATACTGATTTACTTTATTCCCAAAACAGTACTTGTGATACAGAATGGAATTCTCAGCATTTATCACAATATCGCATCTAATTTCCTCAAATTATAAGTATAAAATAAATCACACAGAAAATTTTCCACATTTACAATAGGGGTAATGTCAAAAACATGCAGCATATAAAATAGAAATAACAATAATAATGATAACAGCTAAATAAATTATGAGGTTTAAGTACAGAAACGTTTTAACATACTTGCAAATTTTACATTTCAGTTGTCAGTTGACAGAAAGTTCCACAATTAGTAAACAGTGCTCACAAAATTGCGCTTATATAGTCTTCACACAGGCAGTTCAAGTTAAAACAAAATAAATGTATGCATATAATGGTAAGGGAGTTGCATAATAAAGATGAGATGTGTGTTAGATGCATAGTGACTAATAAGTTAGGTAATTAATGTACTGAGTTCAACTCAAATTATAGAAACAAAAGACAAGCGAAATTACAGATTATCAAAGGAGGATGAGGTTAAAAACAAAGATGAGAAAAAAAAGACATCCAGTTACCAAGGCAACGAAAGGCTAATAACTGCTTCTTTCTGAACACATAAATCTGGTTTCAAGCGTTTGATATAAACTGCCTCGGACAAACTTGAGAAGAATCGAGCTCCTTTGTCTATTGATAATTTTGAAGGATTTGTCGATTTCCACCTCATGACCCGTGTCGAGGAGATGTCTGGTAATAGTGCTACTATAAGAATTTGTTCCCTCAAGACGTAGACTTTTCGGCACACGTTCACAAAGTCAGAGGTGTATCCTTCTTTCTGTTCTCCCAATGTAACTGCTCCCGCAGATACACATAAATTTGTATACACAGTTGGAGTTAACATGAGAAGGGTATCTATCGACTTTTGACTGCACTAAAGAGCATGTTGTTCGATGGAAGGGAACCAACTTACCTGCAAGATAGGCTCTGGCTAGTGATGTTCTCAGTCTTCTGTTAACCATTTCTGCAATGTCTTCACCTTTAAAATCTAGTTGAAGAAAGACAGGCTTCTTTTTTCAACTGTGATTTGTCTGGTATTTGAGCCTTCACATCTTCCATATTTGTTAATGAATCTTTCGGGATAGCCGTTGTTTTTCAGCACCTTTTCGAGATTCGTAAATTCTTTCTCTAGTTTCTCTGCAGGGCATATTCTCCTTGGTGTATAGTACAGAGTCTTGACTAGTGCTCGTTTATAGCTATTTGGACAAAAACTATTAAAATGTAAGTATTGTCCATTCCATTTGGGCTTTCGGTAGACTGACCCCTGGAGACTACCATCTTCTAGGCGTTGCATGGCGACGTCAAGGAAATGGAACTTTCCATCATTTTCATGTTCCATAGTAAATACAATATTTGTATGTGCGTTTTTGAATAGTCTGAGTGGGTAGGAGGCATGACTTTCGTTGTTGCATACTACAAATTTGTCATCGACATATCGACAATAGGAAGTTGTTTGATCAGTTGCATGCTTCAACTTTGTTTTCTCAAGGTTTGACATAAAGATATCTGCTAAAACAGGGCTAAGTGGACTGCCCATAGCTACACCATCTGTTTGTCGGTAAAGAGTATTGTCAAACTGGAATTGTACACCCATGGTACACATTAGCAGCAGGCGTTTGAATTCCGGCTCTGGTAGTGGGAGAAGATCGAACTGTTGACAAATGATCTCAATGGTTTCATTGATTGGGTTCATTGTGAACAAGGAGGTTGCATCAAATGAAGCCATGAACTTATTTGAAACGTTCATGTGATTCACGCTTTCAGCAAAATGAAATGAGTCTTTTATGGTATGCGCGGCTAGCCTTCGGCGAATGGGTTCCAACTTCTCCACAAGCCAACGGGTAACCTTATGTTAGGGAGAGTTTATCATCGAAAGTATAAGTCTCAGAGGGACTTCTTTCTTGTGTCTTTGGAAGGCCATACATATATGCCAAGCGGGACCCTCGGGGTTTCAATTTATTGTACGTGCTGTTGTCAATCAAATTCTTCTTTAGAAGATCTCTCAGTACGTTTGTGATGCGTTTTCAGTTGCATCTGTCTTGTCTTTCTGGCAGTTTTCGACTTGGAACCTCAACGGATCATTCAGTACGGTTTTCATCCTTGCGATGTAGTCATCTTTATCCATCAGTACCACTCCTGTGCCTTTGTCAGGTCGCAGTATGACGATTTTGTCATTATTTCTGAGAGCTTTCAATGATTTTTTATGCTCTTCAGAGAGAACTTTGGAATATGACGTTGGTGAAATAAAGTATTGATTTGCAACGTCGACCAGCTTAGATTCGAACCAGCTCTTCTTGTCCTCATCAACTGGAGTAAGGCTATTCAGCTGATAGAATAGGTTTTCGAATTGAGCTGCGATATCGGTTCTATTGACAAAGTTATTCGGGATATGGAAGTTAAATCCGAGGGAAAGCACTTCCATTTCAATGCGGCTTAAATTCAGATTATACACAAACAGCCGTTGAAACTGTTAAATCACCAGCGTACTTCACAAAGTTTATTTCATCAGAGTGAGGCAAGTCATGTAAGAAGAAAGAAAAGGAGAAAGGACAGCGCCTTGAGGGACACCAGCTTCAGTAGACAATGAAGTGGAAGACTTCCCTTTATACACGGTGTACTGCTTTCTTTCTGAGAAATAGGAATGTAACCAGTCAACAACCCAACATTTTGTTTGACTTGCAGCAAGTTCATTTGGTAAGATGTCCCTAGGGACCGAGTCGAAAGCAGATGTATAGTCTAGGAAGGCACAACGAACAAATTTAGCCCCCTTGTCTAGACTGGAAGCAATGTTATGATATAAGACGGCAGCTGCATCTAAAGTGCTTCTACTGTGCTTATAGGCAAATTGTTTAGGGTCATTAAAGGATTTAAGCGAAGGTAGAAGACTAAGCAAAAGTAATTTCTCCATAGTTTTCAAAAAAGGAGAGGTAATAGCAATGGGTCTAAATTCGACACATGCTCCAGTAGATGATTTAGGTATGGGTACAACTTTAATGTCCTTCCAAACGGCAGGCACAATATTATCGGAAAAAGATTTGTTAAGTAGATCAATGAGAGGGTGACACAGAATATCAGAACATTTTTTAAAGATAATACTGGGTACATAATCTGGACCTAAGCTCTGGGAAGGGTTTAGAGACTTGTGGCACTTTTGAACATCATTTGTGTTAAAACCTGGAAAGGGGCTATTACTAACACTAGTGATGCTGGGAAGCATGGCATCTGAGGGAGAGTAAATAAAAGATTTATTAAGAGTATACACATCAAAAGAATTCGGAATATTGTATATCTGCTTACCACCAGTGATTTTTTACACCGCTTTTATCTTACATTTAACAACATCAGAAAGTGTGCTCATCTAAGAAGGCTTGAAACAAATGATACCTTTGCGTTGATGGCGTGTGATGATCCAAAGTCTAAACCGGATTACTATATCGAAACATAAATCTAACTTCTAGAATCACTGTCATCCTTGTTTATGAAATAATCCAAGCTATCAAACTTGTCCCCTTCACAGTTACATAGTCCCAGGTGGGAGTTCATCATAGTCTCGTTTGAAAACCCCGAAGTATTTAGAATTTAATATACGGTCTATTTGATACGATAATGTGGACTCAATAAAGACGGCGGCAAAACACGATTTTATTGCCATTTGTCCCACCCACCCCC